TATTTCCTTTTCAGTTACATGGACACAGAACAGTATGAAGAAGCAGTGCGGGACTATGAAAAAGTATATCAGACGGAGAAAACAAAAGGTAAAGTGGTTTGAGAGCATGTTTCTCAGGGAACCGTGAGGTCTTACTCTTAGGCCCTTAAAACTGGACACAGGAACGTTTGATTCGGGGATCAGAGATACCTGGAGCTTATTTAGCCACTGGCCAGGAAAGAAGTGAACAGAGATGCCAAGTGCCAGGATAGGGCCCTTCCTTTCTGGCCATTAATCCTCTCTGTCACTTTCCCTTCCTTTTCTGTATAATTAGGCTGATGTGAGGAACTGAAATATGAGTAGGTTTTTTTGTTGTTGTGGGTTTTTTTTTTTTTTTTTTTTAGTTTTCAGAAGAAAACACCATAACACCATAAACGTGCCTGGGATGGTTAACAAGGTTTCTGATGGCAAGGCATCTGGGTTAGGGCCCGGTAAGGGAAACAGAGTCAGATATCCATTGACTCTCGATGTCTCCTTCTAGAACACAAACAGCTCCTCAAAAATGCACAGCTGGAACTGAAGAAGAGTAAGAGGAAAGATTACTACAAAATTCTGGGAGTGGACAAGAATGCCTCTGAGGATGAAATCAAGAAAGCTTACCGAAAACGGGCCTTGATGCACCATCCAGGTACATAGAGTGTGTGTGGTGAACAGACTTGGGAAGAACAAACGGGGCTGGCCCTACCAAACTCAGGCTAGAATAAAAGTTTCTGGCTCTCTGGCTGGGAATGAGGTTTTGCTAACTTCCATACTCTCCAAACTCTGGAAGTGCCAGATTCTAAAATTGGACAAAATTGGAATGAGGTGTCTAACTTCCATACTCTCCAAACTCTGGAAATGCCAGATTCTAAAATTTTGTTTTCTTGGGACTCAGTTCTTCCCGTACTCCTCCCCCTTTAGATCGGCACAGTGGAGCCAGTGCCGAAGTTCAGAAGGAAGAGGAGAAAAAGTTCAAGGAAGTTGGAGAAGCTTTTACCATCCTCTCTGATCCCAAGAAAAAGACTCGCTATGACAGTGGACAGGACCTAGATGAGGAAAGCATGAATATGGGCGGTGAGTTGGTTGGGGCAGCCTAGGATGAGCCTGAAAGCTGTGGATTGTTACAATTTTTCTAAAGACACTCCAGAGGGAAGTCTATATAACAACCAGTGAGGCAGAGTGATGTGATGTGTAAAACCCACCCTGGATGAATACCTGTGATGTGTGAGGTACTGTGATGGGTGCTGGAGATAAAGGTAAGTCAACCAGGTCTCTGAGCTCCGAGAACCCAGTCTTGGGCTTTGCACCCAGACTCACAGGCCACCTCTGACCCCTGGATATGGAGTCACAACCCAGGGTGCAGAGTGGGTACTCAGGAGGTGAGCCCTAGGAAGGGGAAGGCTTGGAAGTGCAGAAAGAATACCTTCAGGGAGCTGTGAGGGGCTGAGTATGATAGGATAGAGGGTGCCTAAGGCAGGAGAAGGTGAGACATGAGGCCCCAAAGTAGCCGGATAACTCCCTCTCCCCCACCAGAAGGCCTTAGCAGCTTGAATAGGGAATATGAGCCTTTTCCTATGGACTGGAAGTTTCTGATATTTATGTTTGTCACCCATTCCTGGCAGGCTTCACAGAGTTCAGTTTCCCCCAAAGACTTAAAATGAAATAAAGCATAGCTAGCTGTCAGTGTTGCTGCTCGCTGTGAGCTCCGTTGGAGATGAGAGGATAGGAACTATGCAGTGGTTCTCAGACCACTGTCTCCAATGCCAGCCTTTCTCCTCCATTAAGAAAATCTATTGGAATTTAAAATAGGATTGATGATCCTAGATACTAGATAGTCCTCTTCTCTCTGGTTCAGGGTGTGTGTGTGCTTTAAAAACCTAGGTTTACCAGTAGTAAACATTGCTCTGCCCAGCAGTTGAGAGGAGCAATAAGCAAAAACTATTGAAGAGTTCTAAGTAGGGGAGCTCCGAACCAGAGTTTGGCTCCAGAAGTATATTTATGATGGCAGTGAAGAGGTGGTTTGGTGCAGTGAAGGGGGAGATGGAGGAAAGCACAAATGGGTAGGACAGGATTGGAGGCCACAATGGGGCAGGAGATGGTTGCTGACATATTGGAAGAAGGGAAGGATGAAGCTGAGTGGCTTTGGGTGGCTGACTTGATGGAGCTGGTCATTGAACTAGGGGACCCAAGATGAGCAGATACACAGGCACGGAAGAATTTAATTTGGGATACAATGTGCCTGTTGCACCAACTGGTGGAGATAAATCCTCTGTGGCTTAGGAAGTCAGGTGGAGGTGGGGACAGCAGACCTGCTGTGGCCTTATCACTAGGCCACAGCACTGGAGACCGGCCAGAGCTGGAATGTTTCCTTCTGCTGCCTTCACTGGCCACATGATCTTGAGCAAGTTACTTAAGTTCCTTTGTCTGGTTTTGTTGAGTATAATTGGGGATGATGTAAGGTATGCAGAGTACCCACCATGATTGGCACCTGGTAGGTGCTTAATAAACCATGGCTTTTTTTTTTTTCCTGTCATACTGTCTAGACATTGCATGGAATCAAATGGATACTGTAAACCTTAGATCTTATTCCTATATATAGTGTTAGTATTCCTATATTTAGTTTAGTTTCTAGATTTTCACCCTTTCAGTAGCAGCCCCAGCATTATAGACAGACGGAATGGGGTGTCTCATGTCAGTAAGTGCAAATGCCATCCCAGTTGTGATGAAGGTCCAGCAGAGGAGGTTGAAGCAAAGAAAGCTTTCATTCTGGCCCGAGCTGGGAAGGAGGGAATGTGTCCTACAAGTGGGATCGAGCAGCGTTAGGCACGGAACTTGGGGGCAGATATGCCCACCCACAGTCAGGTTTTGGAAAAGGATGCACATCCTAAGTTCCTCTTCAGACATGTCTAACTTTTTCCAACTTTTTGTCTCTTCCCTGTCTCTTGCTCTGCTCCATAGATTTTGACGCAAACAATATCTTCAAGGCATTCTTTGGCGGTCCTGGGGGCTTCAGCTTTGAAGGTGGGTATGCCTCCCACTCTCGGGAGTTCCCCAGATCACAGGCCCATAACGTGACTCCCCCCTCAGGTATAGTAGCTCTTTGAGAGTCAGCGAGGCCCATCTAGCAGGGTACCGATCCACTCAGGTGCTGTTGAGCATGGAGGCAGGGAGGCTCCTGGGCACACCATACCTTGGGACTGTTAGTGCCACACCTCTGCAGGGCCGGGAAGGCATCTCAAAGCTGTCGAGTGCCAGGGCTTCTCTGCAAGAGTGAAGGTTAGAAGCTACACACGAGCTGTGCTCATATGCTCCTGACACCCCAGAGCTTAGGCTGGCAGTTTTTCTGTTGGAGTTCGAAGCAGCCCTTGAAAACGAGCAAAGTGATCTTTCCACACAGAGCCAACTAACAAGCCCTTCTTTTGCCTTACAGCATCTGGTCCAGGGAATTTCTTTTTTCAGTTTGGCTAATGAAAGGAAACCATCCGGAACCCAGAAAGTGCAGACTTGCTCAATGTAACCTTGACGTGGGCACAGCTCACCTCCTCCCTTCATCTCGTCTCCCCGTCCTTAGAGCAGTTGCGTTTTCTTAGTTGGATACCCATGTCTGTGTGAGTGGGGGGAAGGAAGGGAGCCAGCGCGGAAGACTGCGGGGAGGGGAGAGGGGTGGGGGGTGGACAGGGAGGCAGCTTGTGAATTTTTGTTTTACTGTTTAACTTTATTAAAAAAGAAAAAAAATAAGAGAATAAAATGTTTTGACCCTTTCTGGCACTTTGCTCTGGCAGCTGCTTTGTGTCACTCCAGAGTTGGTAGGCCAGAGCTGAGCCCCCAGCACGGAGTTGGTACGGACATGGATTGTAGGCTCTGCACCTGGCCCATGAGGGGTGTGGGCACCTGGGGCATGATGGCTGGGGGATGCTGGCCACCTCTCCCAAGCCTATTCAGCCTGAGTGCTGAGCAGACCTGAGAATGCTCAGTCATAGGCTATCTGATGGTAAGGGCCAGCACCGCTCACCAGAAGCTGCGTGTGTCCAAAGCACACATGGAGCGTGGCTGGGTATGCTCAGGCTGAGCATACCATTACACAGGCCCTCGTGGTCCTGTTGCCAGTGCAGGCTAAGGGACATGGGGATGGAGACAAAATCCTGCCTCCCTGACCCTTTCCAGGTGGGACACACAGCTCCTGGGCACAGGGGTCCAGGCACAGACCTGAAGCTCACATGGTTGCATTCTTAGGAGATACCCTTCACCTTCTCCACTGCTGTCCCTTCTGTGTGGGAGAGGAGTTGGGGGAGGAAGCAGTGACTAGTGTCCTGCTGTTCAAATCAAGTGTAGTGGTCGTGGCAAGTGATCTTTTTGGGGGAGTTCCAGGCAGAGAGATTTGAGACTTAGACTGATGCTCAGAATTTTAGCACTTCGGTAGCAGAGATGGCTGGGAAAGGACTATGGACCAAATAGGTAACTTATGCTTCTCTTCCTTCTGACCCCCCCCCAACCCCAACCCCATTCTTTCCAGTCTTCCTCCACCAGCACCAAGGCCACGGCGATAGGATGACTGAGTTAGGCCTGAGAAGCTCCCCCATTGGCCTGTACGACACTCCTGAGGATGGCCTTCCCTAGAGAACTGGTGGAAACCCAGACCAGCACCGTGGGTCTAGCTGAGCAGTCCCTCTGATTGTTTGGGGCTGGCACACCTGTGGGTCTTTTGCCTCAGTTAATGGGGGACGACAGGCTCTGCTCCACGTCCCTCAGACCCAGACACCCCCCACTTTGTGTGCATCTAAGATCAGCCGCTCTCCTTTCTGCCGCCTCATGAAAGCCAACACTGTTCAGCTGCCCAAGCTCACCACAGCTGTGCCCAGCCAGCAGAGGGGAGACAGGACCGATGGCCCCAAGCTGCGGGACAAAGCCGGTCCTGATACACCAGCCCTGGCCCCAGGGAAGACTGAGCTGGGCACAGAAGGGTGAGAGAGACTGCACACGGCCAGGATTAACACGGTTTATTTCACGGTCAGTCTTATAAGTCACTGAGGTTGGGCAAAGCCAGGATAGTAACTTAAATCTCAAGCACTTTCGTCCAGTGACAACCCGATTAGCAAGGCCCTGTTACTGAGCAGGGGGGCAGTGGAAGGCACCCCAGAAACCACAGCACATGTACCATGTTAAAAACCCCTTCCCAGAGGCACTAGCTGGGGCATGGCCCTCACCAGCCAGAGGGCCACTCTGTTGGCGCTTGGTCCCCACCCACTGGCCCCCTGTGGAGGAGGCAAGCTGGACACAGCAGACAGCAAGATGGGAGCTTCCCCACCGAGGTACTTGCTCTGGCCTCCATTTTCCCATCCTGATGACACAGCCACACCACTGCACAGGATGGCCAGCCTGTCCCCTGCCTGGGGCGAGACCAACAGCCAACTGGGATGTGGCTGTTGCTTATTCTTTTCTTCCCTACTTGTCAAACTATTCCCTAGTTATAGTGTGGATGAGGAGGGGACAGGCACTTAGGACTAAAGGTGGGATGAACCCCCCCCCCCTTTTCTACCCTGGTAAGAAGCCCCAGCCTACATGGGGCTGTAATGATTAAGATCCAGGGTCAAAGCCCAGGGATCCCTCCCACCCTCTCCAGTTCCCATGGCCGCAGTGACCACCCTGTGGGGACATGCAGCTCTGGGGCATCTCTCTGCGCTAGCCAGCTTGGGGCAGGGGCACCTGGGACAGGCAGCAGGGCTCGGGGTAGTGGCTGCGGCTCCAGGCCCAGGCTGGCTCAGCCTTGTCAGCTTCGCTCTGGGTTCCTGAATGGCGTTCCCCCACACCCCTCTAATGTTGAAAGCTTGGGTGTTAAGAGGGGACAAGGGTGGGCAGGAGAAGCTACAAGTTTTTAAAAAGTTATGGAAAGGTTAACTCTGAGTAAAAAAAAAAAAAATTTTTTTCCTAAAGATCAAGCAGAAGGCATGCTTCCCTCTCCCCCCACTTCTCTTCTAGACAGGGGGGCTGACAGTGGCAAGAACACTCAGATGATCGTGCAGGACTGCAAGGCGCCTCCCTTGCGGCTGCCGTGCGTGGGCACAGGTTTGCCCTTCCCGTAGTACCCCGTGAAGATGGCCCTGACCTCTAGCTTCTTGGCCAGGCTCAGCAGCCAGCGCCCATTGCCCAAGGAGTAGAGTTTGCCCCGGTTTAGCTCACCCACCTCCTCACCTCGGCTGCCCCCCTTCTCCTGCCGCACAATCTCCAGGAGGTCAATGCCCGTCTGCACGGGCTCCACGTCACCCGCACAGCCGAGGGTGATGTGAGCCCGGCTTCCCCGGGGCAGGCTGTCGGAAGGGGACAGCTTGTCCACGTCATTTGGCCACAATGGCAGCTCCTGCTCGCTCAGCTCCACCCGGGCTCCAGCAGTCTTGGGTGTCACAAAGAGGGCAGTGATGGTCAGCATGAAGGCCTTGCAGTAAGATTTCTTCACCACCTGCAGGGACAGAATAACAGCCCTAAGCTAGAAGTGTAGCCCCTGGAGCAGACAGTTGACCAAGAGTGGGCTTAGCAGAGGTGGACACCACTGAGTAGAATGCTCGGGTAAAAGCTGCGCACAGCCTGTGTTGTGAGAGGACATCTCTCTGCTGCCCCCATCAGGCTGATGTGAGAAAGTGGAGGTGCCAATGGTGCTGGACACCGGGAGTTGAAAGCCAGGCTTCCTGAACTCATCCTGGCTCCCCACCTAGTAGCTGCAGGGCTCCGAGCAAGCCACTTAACCTCTCTGCATTGGCTCATTACACAGGGGTGATACTAGAACCTACCCCAGTGTCTGGATGAAATGAGTGTCTGGGTGAAGATTCTAGAACAGTGACAGGCACGTGACAAGTGCTACTGTCATTACTACTCAGCTCAGCCTGGTAAAAGCCACCATAGAGCCCAGGCAATATCCCAGACGACAAGCTGAGGCCAGAAATAAGTGCCTCTGATCAAAATCCACCTTGTACACCTTGGTTTACATCAGCTCACACTAATCAGATCCAATTAAATCTGATTTTCTGAGAAAGACCATCTCTCCCAACCAACCATAAAAGTGTCTCTATTTTTGCTCACAATCCCTTGTGCCGGGTGCCTAACAGGTGCTTAAAAAGTACTGCTGGGCACACAGATGGTTGAGATGGTAGCGGCCAGTGTTACATAGTCCCTCATGCAGCTACGCTAGGTGCCATGAATACTACAATAAAGACAAACTAAAAAATGCAAGTGGGGGAAACCAATGAACAATCAATAAAACGGCCCTGCATTAACCTAGCAGACAAGTGGGGGAGACAGGTGGAGAGCTGGAGGAAGGCCTGGCTGAGAAGGCCACACCCCGGAAAGCTGGAGACCAGTGCGCACCCAGGCCACATGCCTGCTGCTTAAGAAGCATGCATCAGAGGCAGCAGGCAGGAGAGAATGGCTGAGTGGGAGGGAAAAGCGTGGCACCCCGAAGCCAAGAAGCCTCACTATCCCTCAATGCGCCCTACTCCAAGGCAAGGCCAGGCCTGGGACCCGGGGACAGGGCCCTCAGAGCACCAGGTTCCCTGGGGAACTCAACACAGGCTTGGAGAAGCCAGAGCAGGAGCCTGCTGCCCACCCTCCGCCTGCAGATGTGAAAGGCACTGGTGGCCAGGCCTTGGGGGCGAATGCACAGGCTGGTGGCAGTACTGGGGGTGGTGGCGGGTAGAAAGGGCAGCTGACCATCTGCGCAGCAGAGCCTATGGAGAGGCGAGCTGGAGCAGGAGATGCCATTTTTTCCTGGGAGGCTGTCTTGTGTCTGGGCCCTGCCGTGAGCCAGCCCCCATCTCCAGAAGACCCTGCCCTCGCCCCACCTCAGCCAGGTGTCCCCGGGGAGCACTCACATCCTGCTGGGCATACTCGTCTGCCCCGGCAGCCTTCCCGTAGTCACAGAACTTGGTTGTGCAGTGCAGCACGCCTGGGGGTCTCTTCCCAAAGTAGGTGACCAGCTCAATCTTCTCTCTGGGCTCATCCCCAGAGACAACTGCAGGGGGAGAGAGTGGGGCCGTCAGGGCAGGAGAGCAGGGGCTACCAGCCCAATACCACTCACCAAGACAACGGGGACTCCAAGGAAAAAAAAAACGACATCAAGCCTGAGTTCTCCAGCAATCCACCATAATTCACTCCTTCATTAGTTGGTCAAACCAACAGCCACATCAGAGTTACGAAAAGGCCTCTCAATTCCCTGGTTTCACGACTTGGAGATTTTTACGCCTCTTTTCCGGACTTGAGAACTAAGGCACTCGTACCCAGAGAATAGGCAGCTCAGGCCAAGGGAATTTCGGCTTTATTAGCTACATATCTAGAAGAGGGAAGCGAGTCATGAAAAATGGGGTAGAAAGGCCTAAGGCTGTTGGAGCCATTGTGGTAGGATGGAAGGAGTCAGGAAGTGACATTCCAGCCCACTTACAAGTCCTTTGGCCTGGGGCAGGTGACCGACACATCTGTCAATCAAGTACCATTAGGGTGACCACACACCCATGTTCCCAGGGTCCCCGTGGGAACCTAGGAGTGCCCCCTTTCACTCGGGCCTAACAGGACGAGAAGTTAACCCGGTCACTGTGACACGTACCTTTCAAGCCTGTCTGGTGGGCTGAGAGCCTACCAAGGGCCCAGAGTAGGAAGGGTCTTGGAATGTAACGAGAGGGTACTACATGGCGAGACCTGAAGTATCCATGACTTCAACTGCCTGGCTCCAGGCCTGTGGCCAGTTTGAGTCACTAGATCTGTCCTCTTTACTCTCAGAGTTGAGTCCCTAGGAGGATGTCACTCACCCTCCACGGCGGAGGGAGAGTCTGCTCTGAGAGCAAGCCCATTACATTTCTCCTGTTGTGTCCTAGGCAGGAAAGGGTTGCAATTTTTAATGGTAAAGGCAGCTTCAAAAGGCAGTCACCCCACAAGGCAGAGCCACCAGCTCTAACCCAGAGCCCTGCCCGTAGGGTGCTTTTCTGCCAAGAAATTCCAGGTACAGGGCTCACGCCTGGACAACGTCACTGCAGTAGTCACAGCTCCCTGGTTTCCCAGCATTCCAGCTTTAGTGGCCAACAAGAGTTCTCTGAGCACATATCCAGGCACAAATTTTGCCCCTGAGCCACACAGGAATATGGGTGGGGATACTGCAAGTAGGAGGATAATCTGAAAGTTGTTAAAGGAATAGATGGATTAGTGGATGACATACCCCTAAGAAGCCACTATAGGACAGTAAAGGCCACCAAACCTTATCCCAAACCTACCCTATGCACTAACTCAAACTGCCCTTGTCAGGAGAGGTCCAACCCAATTTGGGGAGGACCCTGCTAGAGTTGACAGCGTCCAGGGCTCTCGCTGTGGCCCTGGGCAGATCCCATACCCCTTCTCAGTGTTTTCCCATCTGAAAATGAGGGGCCTGGACCAGGTGGGAAGCTGTTCTCTGGAGCTCTAGGAGGCCACAGGAGGTGCACTGGCAGTCTGAGACCTGGGACCCATACCCAGGGAAGTCCCAATACTCCTAGCTCTGACTATTTTGCAGCTTAAGATTCTGTGGAATTTTTTTTAAGTTATTTTAATTAACTTATTTATTTAAGAGAGCGAGGTAGGGAATGGTGGAGGGAGAGGAGAGAGAATCTTAAGCATGCTCCACGCCCAACACGGAGCCCCACGCAGAGGTCCATCTCACCATCCCAAGATCATGACCTGAGCCAAAGCCAAGAGTTGGATTAAGCCACCCAGATGCCCATTAAGTTTATTTTTTTTAAACTACTCTTTATGCCTGACATGGGGCTGGAACTGACAACCCCAAGATCAGGCTCTACCCACTAGGCCGGCTGGGTGCCCCTCTGGAATACTTCATTTCAGAAAGATGGCTCTGGGCTAAACACAAGCTAGACACACGGCACCAGGTTCTTCCTCTCAGGTTGTATGAAACACGGACACGCTTCCTGTGATGCCAGGAATGTGTTTTCCCCCCTGACCCCAGAGACAGTGCTCTCCATCCAGCGGGGCAGGGTGGCGCGGAGGAGGGGAGCCCTGGGAAGCACCTCTCCCCACGTCCCCCTGCGCCTCCACCTCCACCGTGAGGCAGCTCTGGCTCGCCCCAGGTGGGCCTCCACCTGCCGGCCACGCTGTGAGAACGGCCAGTCCCGGGCGCACAGACGAGGGGGGCTTAGGGATGAGGCCGACCCTCTGTGCCCTCCCCGGGCCCCGGCCCCACCACCTACAGTGTCGCAGCTCCTTCTTGAAGGCCTTGTGATTCCCCAGCTCCTCCAGGAAGGCCTGGCCGGCTTTGCGGAGGCTCTCGGAACTCTTCTTGGTCAGGAACCAGCCGAAGTAGAGCGGCAGGAAGTCCTTCTCCAGCCCCGGCTTCAGCTTCTTGAGCTCGTCGGCCGACAGCTGCCACTGGTTCTTCTCCTTGAGCTGGGCGCAGTCCAGCCGCCACGCCGTCTTGGGCTCCACCAGCACCACCTGGTACTGGTACTGGTCGGCCAGCTCGAAGAGCTGCTCCAGCCGCTCCCGCTCGTGGTTGGTGTCATCCAGCACCAGGACCCGGACGTCCCGGCGGCAGTAGGCGGCCAGGTCCTCGTCCAGCCGCTTGTACTCCTCAGAGAAGTCTCCTCGCGCGCCGGGGGTGATCTTGTAAGCGTCGGCGGACACCATCTTGGTGCCATCTCGGTACCTGTCCACGATGACGTGGGCCAGGGTGGACTTGCCGCTCCCCGGCAGGCCGCGCAAGATGAAGAGCGTCTTGCACTCTTGCAGCGTGGCCACCGTCTCCTCGTCCTGCAGGAAAGGAAACTGCAGCTCAGGCTTGTCCTTGGCCCCCGAGGATGACATTTTGCGGAAGAAGATCTTGGGCAGGAACGCGTGGCTCTTTCGGGAGAAGCTTCTGTTCTGTGTGAGGAGGGGATGGGCAGGTGTCAGCCAGCTCACTGGAGGCCACCCCACTGGTGTTGCCCCCTTGACTCCGGCCTCCCAGCCCTGAGTTATAGGCGCCCCCGGAGCTGTGGGCGCCTTCCCAAGCCAAGGAGCCGACCCTCTCCTCTGTCCTGTGGGGCCGCCAGCTGCTCCTGGTCGCAGAGGAGGGAGGGGAGACCTCCTGGGAGCCTTCCTAAACTCTGAACTGCCCCTGCTCAGAGCTGTAGCTTCAAGGGTCCCCCACTGCTGCCACCTCTCAAGGGAAAGCGCGCTGCAAGCGCATGCCTGTGGTTCTGGGAGCGGACCCTAACTTTAGATTCTTGGCGCCTATTAAGGATGACCTCTTTGGAGGTGGGGCTGCTACGTCTGGGCGAAGCCACAGCTGCCTGGGCTCTGGGTGTGCAGAGGACGGTGCGGGTGGAGGAGGGTTACCCAAAGACTGCCTCCCCTCCCCCAACAAGGGCAGGGACAGATAATACTCTCTTGTCTGGGATGGGGGGGGACAATGGTCCCACAGAAGGGCTGGTGGGGGGCAGGGCGGGAGAGCGCCGGACAAAGGGCCTCATTCACCACGCCTGCCACCTCCTCCTCCGCCCCCGGCCCCCCACAAAGTCGCGGTCTTTGTGCCTGCCCCAGGCCCAGGCCCGGGCGGCCCAGGGCACCTGCGTCCCGCTCCGCCCCACCGCTCTGCTGTGTGTCCGCGGCACCTCTCGGAGCCACGTGCTCTCCCGCCCTAGGTGACCACACCTGTTGCGGGAAGCGGTCGTCCCGGCAGCACGCGCAGCGCCGCGCTGGCTTTTCCCCGACGGGGCCCTGGCGCGGGAGGCGGCGAGGGGTGCCCGCCCCGCCCTACCCCGCCCCGGACCCGGCGGGCCGAGCTCCCGGGCGCCCGGCCCTGCCCTCCTCCAGCGGCCGTGCCCGCTCCCCGCTCCGCCCGGGCCTGCCCTACCTCAGGCGGCACCCGACGCCCCGGAGAGCCAGGGCTCCGCTCCGGAACCTCGGGTCCTCATTTGCATATGCCACTTCCTCCCGAAAATCCCCCCGAACTCCCGTCTTCCGTGGGGGTGCTTCCCCGGCCCGCCGCCCTGCGCCCGCTCACCCCGCTCACCCCGCTCACCATGATGAGGGGGCGCCGCCGCGGCCTCCTCGGCAGGCACTAGCTCTCCGGGGCCGCCCGCCTGCGCGGAGGGACACGGAGCCCAGCGGTGGCGCGACCCCCCGCGGGGCCGCCTTACATAGCCCGGGGGCGGGGACGCGGCGCGCGGCGGGGCGGGGGCGGGGCGGGCGCGGGCCCCTCGGCGCAGGCGCGACGAATCGAAACCCGAAACTGACCTGGCCCGGGGCGCGCGAGGCGGGGGGGGGGGGGGGGGCGTGTCCCGCCCGGGCCGCCAGCGAGCCCCGCAGAGTTCCCCGGGAACCCTAGACAAGACGCAGGCGGCCCCATTTCTCCCGCCCCGCGTCGGGGCTGGGATGGGGCCAGGGAGGCGGGGTCATGCAAGGTCAGATCCTGTCTTTATTTAAAATTTTGATATTCATCATGGGGTTTTTTGCGTGGTGTCTTTTACAAAATCACGTTAAATGTTGCACGTTATATGTTGCTTACTGAGTTTCTTGGTGCCCCGTGAAACGGTGCATCTGACATGCCTCACTCGCCTGTTGGTCGGAGCCCGGTCCCTAGCGAGGCAACGAACTTCAGTCCTAACCGTTCCTTCCAGGGACTGAAGATAGAGTAGCCGGGATGGACAGATGAATAATGTAGTAAAATCCTAGCTCATCGTCTGCGGCACCTGTTGAGCCAGCACGTCCTCTGCGAAGCCACCGAAAGGTCGGTTGGATTTTGGAGAGCGTCCCGCGTACCAAGTGCTGTGCTAAGCACTCATAGGAGCCTCCCACCAACCCCGGAGGTAGATACCCATTCTGCAGAGGACGAAACCCGCTGGCTTGCGGAGCCCCTTTACTTGACTGTACCGCCCGAGGTGCCGCAGGAAGGTCCTTGCCGCCACTCCCACTGCGGACGCTCCCTCTTCTGGGACAGGAGCTTTCTTCCTCTGGGCTGCTGGAGCGCAATGCCCCTGTGAGTGCCAGCATTCATGTCACTGGGCCTCCCAGGCTTCGGCGTGTTGTCCCATCATCATTTCTTCCATAAAGCCCCCCACCGTGCCCTGACCACAGCAGACACTCAGCAAGATGAAGCGATGGCCAGTGGTTGTGCACACATGCCTCCACTCCCAGGCTTTTCTTTCCTTTTCTTCCCTCTTTAAGCTAACCTGGTTCCTTGGAGCTAGCCTGTTGACTTCATCATCCTGAACAACTTTCTTCTTAGCACCCCTCTCATTTGTTCCATGAGGTCCTTGGACAGGCCTGGGGAAGAGGACCACATTTCCCACCTTGATCACACTTCAGTCAGGCCTTGCTTGGCTTGGCGTCTGTGTTTATCACCTGGTCAGGGTAAAGTCAGATTTTTTTTTTTAAAAGACTTTTTATTTGTTTATTCATGAGAGACACACACAGAGAGGCAGAGACATAGGCAGAGGGAGAAGCAGGCTCCCTGGAAGGAGCCTGATACAGGACTCAATCCCAGGACCCCAGGACCACAACCTGAGCCAAAGGCAGACACTCAACCACTGAGCCACCCAGCTGCCGCTAAGGTCAGAGTTCTGCCTGGAAAGTGGTACCCCCAACTGGCTCATCATTCTCGAGGACTCTTGTGAGGGCGGCAAAATGACAGACTCAAGGTTTGTAAGAGTGAAAGGTATCTATTTAAAGGGAAAACTAACAGAAAGAGGCCAAGGTGACCTGCAGAGCCCAGTCCACATGTTCTCCAATTAAAGGCAAATCTTAGCTGGAAAGTCCAGTCAAATAAGCCCCCAGAGGTCCCTGGTCCTGAGGCCTGCTGCTTCATTCATCTTTCTGATCTTTTTCCATATCTTCACCATTTTCTGCCGTTGTCACTTCCGCTGTTTCTCCCAGTTCTATTTTCTCTGCTTCTTCTGACTCTTTTTTGCTGGCTTCTGAAACCCTCCTCTCCAGTTCTTCTGATTCCCTTCTGCTTAATTCTCCTGAGGGTTTCTGGTCCAGCTCTGAAGGCCTCCTGTAAATTTCTCTTGATTCCATCCTGGTCACTTCTAAAGGCTTCCTGTCTGCCTCTCCCGCTCCTCCTTCACCCAGGTCTCTGGACACTGTCTTGGCAACGTCTCCTGAGTCTTGCCTGGTGGCTCCTGGCCCTGTTCTGAAAGAGCTGGCTTCCTGTACTTCTCTCTGCCTGTTTTCTTCTTGTTCGCTCACTGCGACCTTCAGAGTCTCCTGAGACAGTTCATCTTCTGTCTCTTTCTCACTCTCAGCTGGCTCTCGCTCCCAGTGCTTCACCACCTTCTCCAGCTCGTCTTTCCCTCTTTTCATGCTTTCCTTCTCCTTTGCTGCCACTCTCAGGCTTTCTAATTCAGTGGCCTCTTCTGAAACACAAGAGAAAGGAAAGAAAAAGAAAAGTAAAACTTTGTCCATCTCTGGGTTTGGTGGCACCCCAATCCATGGGGGCCTGTGCTTCTGAGAGAGAGCACGTCTTTCCAAAAGCAGAGACAGGGAGTCATTGTTTCCCGAGCATCAGCCCTGTTCCAGGCATTAAGCAGGCTGCAGAGGTGATGCCGTGCAGTCATGGAATTAACGGCATAGTGTCAGGGATTTGAGTTCATAGTCAGAGGACATGAAACTGATGACAGAGAAATCACAGCCAGTGGTCGCACTGCAGGTTGAATAAATGGCAAGGCCAGAATTTGAACCCAGGATGGTCTGCTCTCAGAGCACATTCTCTTTACCTATGAAAAATAACACAGGTGCTGGGAAACGACAGAGGGGTTCTTTTCTCCAGCATCCTCATTCGGCATTACTCTTTGTCTCTGGGAAGCATATTCATCATTTATTGGGAGGTTCCCTATCAAAATATGAGCAGCGTCTTAGCAGGAATTTCAGCTGGAGAGCTATTTTTACGATCAAAAGGATCCTTGTTCCATGTTTTTATGAGCTACAGAGAAAAGTCACAGTGGACTCCTGAGTCTCCCCTATACTCTCTTTTTGGAAGTCCCTGGTCTCTATGATGCCCACAGGGGCTCTAAATTCACAGCAGGGACAAGGCCACCATTTGGCGACGAAGACCTAGGCAATGCTGCCACCTGCCATTCTGGGAGGGAAGTGCCCAGTAGCTGCTGCGGCTGCGAGGCCTTCCCAGTGAGTTTTCAGGACACCTCCCCAGCACATAGCCTGTCAAGGGAATGGGGAGCCACGGTGAGCTTGTGCCCTTTCCTTGCTGTATCTCTTCACATCTCTTGCCTCCGTGGATCCCGAGAGCAGCTCTAAGGACATGGGAGCAGAGGCAGATTCCCTCCCTGAGGAGCTCCAGCCATCACGTGACAGGCGCTAGGTAAGAAAAGGCTGGCATCTGGCTGCTGGGATACCCAGAAACCTCACACCCAGTTTCCCCACTCCTGCTGCTGTGCCTGTATCAGAGAGGAGAGAGGACTTCAGCGTAGGCGCCTGGAGGGGGCGCTGTCCCCCAGGGAACACGGAGCCCAGGCCTCGCTGCCTTTCCATGCCTGGCTGCTGGAGGGTTACGCCAGAGCCCAGCACGCAGAAACTGTAGAACCAAGGTGGAAGCCCAGGTTCTAGGCCAGGCTGCCTGAGACTGGAAGCTTCTGTGGGACTTTTGCCTCTGTGTCCTCATCCAAAAAATGAGCAATCCTTATCAATACTTATTTCATGGTGTTCTTGGAGGAATCAGACAGGTCAGCATATATAAAGCCCTTAGAAGAGAGCTTGGCATAGAGGAGGCACTGAGTAGAGAACGGCCTCTCATCACCCCATCTCCTGGGGCCCATCCCCGCTGACTCCTGTGGGGCCTGGGGTCCTCCCAGCCACCTCCTTTTCCCATACCCTATCCTGGAGCTGGGTGGGACAGGGGGGTGTCAAAGGCTTCTTTACTCCCTGGAGGTCAGATCACTGCATGCCCTACCCACACAGGCCGAGGAGAGCAGTAGCACCCAGCAGGGGACAATGTGGCTCCAAGTCAGACGGCCGTGTGGCTCAGACAGGTCACCCAACCTCACTCGGCCTCCACTGACCCCCAAAACCAGTACCTACCTTCTAGAGTGGTGAGGACTGAGCAAATCATTCCTATCTCATGCTTATCCTTGTGCCAAGTATGCAGGAAGAGCCCCCCAAAGTCTAAGTTACTGTCATCCTGCCACCATGTCTTTGTTCCTGCTGTTCTCTGCTGGAATGCCCTCCCTCTTCCACTCTGAGCCTGGAAAACCCTGGGGCATTTTTTGGAGGCTGAAGCAGATGATTCTTCCTCTTTGGAGCCTTCTGGATGGCCCCAGAGATAGCCAGAGTTCTCTGCTTGTGCTCTCAGAAGAGCCATTCCTCCCAGGCAGCAAGCAGTGCTCACACACAAGGATCCCCTTTGCTGACAACTCAAATCTCCTGGCTTTGCCCCAGGGCTGTGGGCTCCTCTGAGGCAGGGGCCCCAAACCTCTGGCTTCCCCAAATCCCACACCTTCCCCGCGCATAACAAGTGCTTAATGAATATCTGATGAGCTAACTGGAGAAATACCAGAGTGGCCTCTCAGGGCAGTCAGCATGGACTTGGACACGAGCCCAAGGTGGGCGGAACCTCCTTCTGACCCAGGGGCGGGCTGGGACCTCAGGGCACCCTGCAGCCAGAACCCCAGCCTGGGATTGGAGGCGCTGCTGGGGAGTGCAGACAGGAACCCTGCAGCCACCTCTGGGTGCTCACCTCTCTCTCTCCTTTCTCTCAGCATCTCCCTGTAGTCAGTTTTCTTCAGCTCTTCAATGATGCCCTTGTTGGCATCGTCCAAGGCCTGTGGGTGGAGAAGCTGGTGACCTCTCCTAACCCGTGATGGCACCCACACCTTCCCTTTCTCCACCTGAGCCCCAACCCCAGAAGGCAGGGCTCTGCACCAGCCTTGCTGCCCTCCCAATTTGCCCAGGCTCCTCCCTGGACTTCTGCCCCGGTGTTAATTTATACTTAGGGACCTGGAATTAGCCACACTAGGAGGTAGGAGATACACAGCTGCAGCTAGGAGATACATGGGCCTCTTTGGGCTTAGGTATTTCAGAGTTGCCTTTTGTCTTCTCATTTTGGCCTCTTTACTAGGAGCTTCTTTGGGCTCCAGCTATTGTGAAGCCCTTAAAGCACTCAGTGAGGCAGCCAGCCCTGGAGGGGACTTGGAAACCCACTGCTGGGTGGG